GTCGACATGGGTGCTGAGAACTGGACTATGGTACTCTTGAAAGAACAGCAAGCACACCAAATTCCTAAGTTACTGTTTCTTTACTCCCTCTACTAACATTTAATGGGTGCTTACAGAGAAAAGGTTTATTTAGTTCAGCTTTGGAAGCTGAAAGTTCAAGATCAAGAGTTTCCATTAGTTCAGTCTCCAGTGAAAGAAAGCTTCATGGTCAGATTGAGAGTGAGGAGCTTACATTACCCAATGGGAAGTGCAGGAAATCCGAGAAGCTGGGGTCTCAGTCTCTTCTGAGGTCACATCTCCAACTGACCTCAGGACCTTCCACTAGAACCCACTGCCCAGCTTCACTTTCCCAAGGTCTAAGCTCCCACTGAATAAGCTCTTGGGAGAAAAAATGAAATGATGGCAGCCCGATTTCCATTTTGTTGTAGCAAATACACTGGGCAAGGAAGGTTCTAGTAGTGTGTTAAAGTCAACTTGTTACATTTTGGGGAAATTCTACAGCTATTTAATACATTCTCATTCAAAGTTAGCCATGGGTAGTATTTACACCACCAGTGATTTGGGTTTCATGAGAAACTGCTGTTAAATATTTGGCAGTACACCACTCTAAGGTTCTTACTTCAGGAAATTTACATTGAAATTGGGTAATTTATAAATATGCAAGTAACGAAGATAATTTCAAACTGTGATGAGTGCTTTGGAAACAATATGAGCAAAGGGATGGCAAGTGACATTGAAATTGAGATCTAAAGTATAAGCTGGCATCTGTGAAGAGTAGGACAATTGTGTGTCCATTGTTCATTCCCATCTGTGCTTCTCTGCCGGGACTGCGTCTTCAATAGCTCCCGATAGACTCAGGCTTTGTTAAGTTCACACCTAGATATTTTATACTTTGAGATTTACTTAACTTCTATTTTAACTTGTTTGAACACACGTTCATGTGTATGCACATGTGTAAGCAGATGCTCATGCATGTGAATGTGTCAAGTGCCTTTATCACTCTCTATTGTCTTGTTGAATCTGCCAGTGGGCTGGCTTGCTGGGCATTAACACAGGTACTGGGGATCTGAATTGCTTTAACCCAAGCCATTTCCCCAACCCCTGGCTATTGTTTTAAAGCCAGCTGACTGATCTTATTCTGAATGGTTGCTCATCAGGTCTCCTGAGTTTTCAGGTTTGTAATCGCATCCCTTCTGTGACTGCTACATTCCATCCATGCAGAATGCTTTTGGTCAGACTGTAAACTAAGTCCTCTGGACTCTCCAGTAAACTAAGAGGAGTTTCTTCACTCCACTCTCCTTTCCTGACTCCTGCAGTAACCCCTACTGGGTCCCCGCTCAGAGATCTAAATTCAAGGTTACTTGAGCTCCCAGCCATATTAAGGAGTTTGCTCCCTTCTGGTAGCTTCTATTATCTTATTTTCTTGTTTTTCCTCCTAAGTTTCTGGTGGATTCATCTCAGTTGCTTTAAGGTTTATTTTTATTCTTCTTCTTTTATTTGTTGGAAATTTCTTACTGCTTAGTATTATACACTGATCTTTCCTCATCATACTGTGTTTACACACCATCATTTTAGGGTTTAAATTACTATATGCCCATTGGCTCCAGCTTTAAATTTGTGTGTGCACATGAGCATGGATATGCCATGATGTACAAGGATCCCAACATGTGGATCCATTATAGGGTTGGCGGAATCAGACTTTGCTACTTGTTCCACCCTCCCATCTCCAGCCCCTTTGAGACAGGCAGGATCTCACGTAGTCCAGATAGGCCTCAAATGTTCTGTGGTAGCAAAGGATGACCTTGAAATCCCGACCCTCCTGCTTCTAATCCCAAGTGCTGGGATCACAGCTGTGCTGCCATGCTCAAATTCACGACTCCTAATTTTGCATCTCTGCATCGGGCCTTGCTTCTGAGCTCCAGATTCTTCTAATTACGTCCTCAGCAATTCCATTTGACTGTCTCAAAAGAATCCTAATTCCTGCATTTCTGATTAAACTGCAGACATTTTTCCCCCACAAATTCCTTCCCTACAGTTTCTATCAGCTGCTTCACTATTCAACTGGTGTAAACAAGATACCTTGGGCTGAGTGGGAATAAACAGACATTATTTAATTCTAGTCAAAGCCCTCCCTCTTCCTGGCTTGTAGGTGTCTCCCATCACGGAATGTTTGGTACCTCCTCTTTCTGGAAGGGTATTGATCTTGTCATAGTAGAACTCCATTTTATCATTGCAATAGAAACAAAGATTTAGTTTTTTTTTGTTATATTTTTAAGTTATATGTGTGCACATATATCTGCATGGGGGTATGTACACATGGATGCATGTTGTATCTCTCTGAAGCTGGACCATGGGCAGCTCTGAACTGCCTGACATGGGCGCTATGCGCATCCCCCACTCCCCCTTTCACTCTTCCCCAGATAGGGTTTCTCTGTGTAAGGCTCTACCGGAACTTTGTAGACCAGTCTTGAACTCACGTTATTGCCTGGCTAGGTTCTCTGTAAGAGTGGTAATGCTATTAACCACTGAACATCTCTCCAGTCCCTACAATACAGGTAGTTTTATAGTTTGCCTTTTGATTTTACTATTAAAACATTTTGGCCTATAAGCGTAAATGTTTATATAGTTAATGAACCAATTATTTTAACCTATAGTTAAATGGTGTTTTTGTCGTGCTTGAGTACCATACATTCATCTACCCCCCCCCCCCTTTTGTAAAAGACATGGTCTCTCTTATGTAACTCTCTATGTAGATCAGACTAACCTCAAACATAGAGAGCCCCATCTCTGCCTCCCAAGTGCTGGGCTTAAAGGCATGCACAATGCCTGGTTACATGCATCTACTTCTTAAGCTTTGATTTCTACTTTATTCTTAAGACCTGAGGAAAGAATCTAGCTTTCAAAAGCCGCAAAACGATCTGGGATGTAGCTCAACAGCAGAGAACCTCCCTAGCCTATATAAAATAGACTAATGGCCATTAACCATCAGCCTCTTCTCAGCTGATTTACTAGGTCCCTACTATAGCACTCACTATATTTGTGATTCTCCACTTTATTGCTCTACTCCATAACCTAATGTTTCATACCTGAAGCTAATAACTTCCCTTGGGCTCACTGACAATCTTCAGGTTTCCTGATTTTTTTTTCTACATATTAATTCTTTCAAGTTCATTTTAAAAAGCATTTTCTTTTCTAATCTGATTGAAGTTCCTACTGGGAATTTTTATTTCCATTAGAATTACAAATTATCTTGGTGAAAATTATGTAAGACTTTAAAGAATTCATTCATGTGTTGTTCATTTAATTAATGTCTGAGCACACATTTTTCTATTTTTTTTCATGCTTACTTGTTTAATTTTGAGCACAGGATTTATGTAGCTCATGCTCTCCTCAGAGTTGTAAGCCATCGCCCAAAAGATGGATGGCCCCAGTGCTAAGATTACAAGTGCATACTACCATGAACTGTTTAGCCAGTGGGCTGCTGATGGAGGAAGGTCATTGGCTAATAAAGGAACTGCCTTGGCCCATTTTATTGGTTAGAACATAGGTAGGAGGAGTAAACAGAACAGAACACTGCGAGGAAGAGGAAGTGAGCTCAGACTCCACAGCTCTCCTCTCGGGAGCAGATGCCTCAGAGATGCCATGCCCGGCTCCCGGGCAGACACACGCTATGAAGCTCCGACCCAGGATGGACATAGGCTAGAATCTTCCCGGTAAGTGCGCCTAGGGGCGCAACACAGATGATTAGAAATGGGCTAAATTAATGTGAGAATTAGCCTAGAAGAGGCTAGATAGAAATGGGCCAAGCAGTGATTAAAAGAATACAGTTTCTGTGTAATTATTTGGGGTAAAGCTAGCCATGGGGGCGGCCGGGTGCTGGGGATGCAGCCCCGCTCCCCTTATTACTACAGGCTGCAGTCCACTGAGCTATACCCCCAGCCCCTTCATGTTCTGTTTATTTCAGAGCTCTTGTTGGTTTTCCAGAGCAGCAGAGTTTAGTGCCTACTAGTCACATCAGGTTTCTCAGGACTGCCTCTAACTCCACTCCCAAGCCCTACAGTGCACCCCCCCAACCCAAGATCTTCCCAAACCAGAACATTAGCATTTGCTAGGTCAACTCCAAGTAATTAGAGATGTTAATATGTTGGGTTCTGCTTACATATGTGAGTTATTTGCCAGTCTGGAAAGCAGTGGACTTTATATACTGGAGTTGGGTTTCTGAGTTTGGTATCTTAAAAGAACATACATGGTGGTATTATCACTAGGCTCTGATTCCCAGAGGCCTGAGACTTTGAGACAATAGTTATTGTGAGGAGTCAGGCAAAGCGTATCTGTAAAATGACGGGGTTGGACTAGACTAGGTAATTTCCAGATCTTTCTAAATTGTACACAGTCTGGTTCTAACAGGCCTTCTTGTTCCTTTTTCACTGTATAGGCAACTATCCTATATAAACAGGTGCATGGAGTCATTAGTAGCAAAGTGAAAAGATCCACCCAAAAGATGTATTTGGTATTTGGGAGGCAGAGGCAACAGATATGTTTGAGGCCAGCATGATCTACAGTGAGTTCCAAGAGTCAGGGCTACACAGAGAAATCCTGTCTTGAGCAACAAAAGAAAGTTCTGACCATCACCCAAAACACTGTGAATAGAGACAAGATGAATTAGCAATCTTTTCAGACTCTGGAGCTTATCTCTCTTCTGAAAAAGTGTTCTGCTGTTTTCTCCTGGCACAAGTGAAGGAGGGAGGGGACACTAGTGAAAGTGTATCACAAAGTGAGGAGGTTAGGAGTTAAGACCAGCTGGAGAACAGGCAGGTGCAGAGAGATGGAAGCTATCATCCAGTGTGCATTACTGCCAGGCACTCAAGATACCAACTTGGTCTAATCAAACCAATGTTTCAAAAGCACAATGTACAGAACTGGCTCCAGACCACTTATATATGTATTGGGCAAATCCTGTGCTCTAAAATAACAGTGAAGTTGTTCTGTTCTACCTACAGGTCCTAATGAGCGCCTCATTCCTGGGAGCCCTATGTCTTTTCTCATCTGTCTGTGTTGTGTGTGCCATTTCTGCACTTACTCTACCCATTGAGACCAAAGGACGTGCTTTGCAGGTAAGGGACTCAGGAAGCTCTTGGTTTTTAGGTGGTGATTGTAAGAAAACCCATTTTTAATGATGTGTATGCATATGTATCTGTGTGGGTATGTGAATGAGTACAGATCCCCTGGGAGTTTGGGAGATGTCCGATGTGGGGTGCTGACTGAGAACTGAACTCAGAACAATAACTTATCTGCTGAGACACCTCTTAGCTCCTTGGCCACCACTTTTTGACCCAAGAGAAGTTTGGGATATGGGTAGCCTTTACTTAAGCAGGCAAAGAGACCTCATTAGAGCGTCCTGATTGAAATTCTGAGCAGCAATAAAGTTGAAGTTAACAAATAATTCACTTTATATATTTTCACGTAAAAGCTACTGTTGAACAAACCATGGGGCCGAGTTGAAACAGTGCTACAGAGCCTTTAGGATCACATGGGTGGGATACAACAGGCTACCTTTCTTTCCCCAATACCCAGAGTGGTAAAAGCTTTAGTGTATCTTCCCTGCGACAGCTGTGTAGGTTGCAGCTTTGGGAAGCCTTACTTCAGGCATCATGAGCTAGTGTTTCCCCATCTAGAAACAGGCTGGAATATGAGCTTTGGACACCTACTGTCTGTGATTTCCATCTGCCCACAAGTAAACTGACCTCTAGTTCCACTGCATCTGGAATAGCTCGAGCTGCATTAAAGTCCATCTACCTAAAAAGGTGCCTGCCTGCGCAAACTCCTTACAGATGACCATGACACTTAACTAGGGAAGGGACCCCTAATGGCTCCACCACCCCAAAGCAATGAGTTCCGCTGCAAGGACTGGCTTTTTTCTCTTTCTCATCTTTCATGATTGGTCTACTTAACTTTAGAGATTATGAAGGCAGGGAGTATTTTGGTCCCTTATTTCTCTGGAGGCTGTGGATGGAAGGCAGGGCACAGGCTCCTTAACATACCTCTATGCAAAGTCCCGGGGAAGCTGGACTTTCAGTATGGAGCACAGGTGCCAGTCTAGATCTGACTATCTAGAGAAAGGAGTCGGGTACATGATAGGAGGGTTTGGGGAACTTTTCTACCTTTCAGCAAAAGCTAAGAGAGATAATCTGTAGTTGCCCCATTACCGAATGCTTAGGACTCACATGTTTCCTTTCAGCACTACAAAGGGTCACCACACCCTTTATACAAAGACTAACTAGGGCACAAGTTGGGCAGATTTTCATACCAATGTAAAAAAAAAAAAAAACCAAAAAACCAAGTCTTAAGCTAATCTTCCATTCCCTTCCAAATTTTCCATTTCTTACATTTGTTGGGACCTTCTTGTCCCAGCCTTCCAAATGCTACGGTTATTAGGTATGAGCTCCACAATCTTAAAAGTATTTGTACAAATAAGAATGAAGAAACCTAACAGATCTTTTAATGTGCCCTATGGATTTCCGACTCATATCTACCTACAAAGCCTGTCCTTTTCCTGTTGCTGAGTTCTTGTGACCAAAGAACTCAGCATTAGGCATTGTAGAATACTAATATGTCGCTGTGATACATGCATATGAACATGCCCTGGCCATCAAGTGGTGGCATACCTTCAAGATAATCAAACACACACACTTCACTGCTGTGATCATATGCACAATACATACATATGAACACATCCTGGCCACAGAGAGGTGGAACGCCTTCAGGATAAACACACACACACACACACACACACACACACACACACACTGCTGTGATCATATGCACATCTTTTCAAAAACAAGAAAACAGTGTAGCAGCCATATGATAAACCAACTTGCTTACTAGCTTAAAGGTAGTGTTGAGTCAATAAACTTAAAAAAAAAATCCAATCATTTTTTTTTTTTGTTTTTGTTTTTGGAGTCAGGGTTTCTCTGTGGTTTTGGAGCCTGTCCTGGAACTAGCTCTTGTAGACCAGGCTGGTCTCGAACTCACAGAGATCCGCCTGCCTCTGCCTCCCGAGTGCTGGGATTAAAGGAAAATCCAATCATTAAAGAATGTTTGTAGCATCAGACGTGGTGGCTCATGCCTTTAATCCTAGCACTCAAGAAGCAGAGGCTGGTGACATGAGTTCAAGTACACAGACCCTGCCTCAATAAAACAAACAAAAAATAAAAACAGAATGTATTTCTAGTGTGAATTTCTTTAGACCATGCCTGTTTTGCACCAACTTTAAATTTTAAAGCTAGCAATTGTCATTTCATAAATAAGGGTAACTGATAGATTTTAATTCCTTGTAAATTGTATTAAGAACAAAGACTTACCAACTAATTTCTTTTCTTTTTTTCTCCCATAGCAAATTAAATAAGGACCTGCAATACTATGGTCATCAGACGAAAAATGAATATTTGATCTTCACTGTTATTGAATATTTTAAAAATGGTTTATTTTTGCATATGATAATTAAGAAAACAAGTGTATTTTAAGACAACTAAGGCACACACAAAAATGCAGCAGGGAATCTATTTCTTAGGAAACAATATATGCAAATTCTTATAGCTTATATTTTGTCACAGTTCAGCTATAAGGCAAATGAGGTCAGCCTGGGTGCCTAAAACCAAATAAAAAACTCAATAACAAAACCTCCCTCCAAACCACTTACTTATTCCCTCACCCCAAACAAACCAATAAACCCTGAGACTGAATGGGAATAGGAGAAGGTGGTTGGTGAAGAATATACCCTTTTCTTACTTAGCATCAAGAACTGCTAACCTTAGACAAAACACTTGGTATTGCTCCATGTGGTCTGTGGCTGAAGGACAGAGATTCTGTAGTTAAGGCAAGAAACAAGGCTGGTATCACTGATTTTAAATTATGGCCTTGGTAGCTTAAAAAAGAACTACTACTTTACTCTATATGTAACTACCAATAAGCTGGGGAATAAAGTTAATTTTCCCATACACTATTGTCCTTTTTTAATCTTAGGAGGGAATCATTGATTCTCTTGATGATTTCCTTTTTTTTTTTTTTTTTTGGTTTTTCGAGACAGGGTTTCTCTGTAGCTTTGGAGCCTGTCCTGGAACTCCCTTTGTAGACCAGGCTGGCCTCGAACTCACAGAGATCCGCCTGCCTCTGCCTCCCGAGTGCTGGGATTACAGGCGTGCGCCACCACCGCCCGGCGATGATTTCCTATAACAAGTAATTACTTACTGTTTGTGAGAGTTCTACTGGAAAAGACGTGCTTTGGAAAGAAAACATACAAAGCCTCCTCATTTATCTTTTACTGCTGTTCAGTCTTATTATGGAGGTCCACCAGAGTTTCAGACTACCAGGGTGGCTCAGGAGTCCCCCTGCTATTAGCAGTGGAAAAAGGCTGCAGCTACAGCCACAAGGAAATGCTGTATTAGCACACTGCATACACGAGGCATAACCTCTGCTTAGGAGGCAAACACCCCCTATTTAAACCAGTCTACGGATGGCTTAACATCAGCCAGTTTCTTATGAACTTAGAGGATTGGTTCCAAGACTCCTGGTGGAGACCAAATAGCCCATCTTACATAGGATGGTACAGTATGCGTACACTCCTCCCTTATATTTCTGTCATCTCCAAACTGTATCAATTACAGCAATGAAATGTATGAAATAATGACAGAGTTGTCTGTGTATATTTAGGATGAACACTTTATTTTGGTTTCTTGAGATATGGTTTCTCTGTGTAGCCTTGGCTGTCCTGTAACTTGCTCTGCAGAATACGCTGGCCTCGAATTCACAGAAATCCATCTGCTCCTGTCTCCCGAGTGCTGGGATTAAAGGGCACCAACATTGCGCAGCAAACACATCCCTGCCCTAAATAGTGATCTAACTGGTTGAATCCACAAATACGCTACGCACATCTTTAATTCCAGCACTTGGCAGGCAGAGGCAGGCAGATCTCTGTGTTCAAGGTCAGCCTAATCTAGAGTCCCAGGACAGCCAGGGCTACATGCTGTGTAGAAAGACTCCATCTCAAAAATGTGATCTGACAGCTTCCTGAACCTGCTGCCCTATCATGCCCATAATTATGGACACTCTCTCTTTTCAGCTGTAAGTTAAAATAAACCATTTTTTCTTTAAAAAAAAAGCAAACCAACGCAAACCAAAAACCACATGCATTTGAAAGACCAACTGTATTACAGGCTTTTCAAGTTATACACATAAGCTTTCTTATAAGCATACAACATTTCTAACTTCAAGCTATATGAAAGCTCATGTGATTAATCTGGCTAACAGGCAGACAATCACCTTAAAACCTAGTTATTATTTCAGGACAAATATATTTGATGGAAAACTATGTTGGCTACACTTGCAGGGGCAAGGCAAGCAAGCACTATAAGTCATAACTGAAAATCCCAAAGCTGAAGTTTGAAGACACTCATTTTTCAAAGGCTAGCAATAGTAAAATCCAACCAAGGACAAAGCACGCTCTTTAGGATTTCAGAATTCTTAGTGTGAAATACTGAGGCTAAAGGAACTTCACAGAGCTGCCCAGCACTGTCTAGCACACAGGCTTTGCTCAACAGCAAATCAAGTCTCTAGCAAGCTATTAGCATAATTTTAACAGAGTCTTGATAACTAGCTTGATAACGCACCTTTCTACAACACAAACTGTGGACAAGGTTGTTTAGGGCACTTACCTCATTAGTACAAACAAATTCCAAGTCATTTTCTTCTAAGAACTTATTGGGCTTGTTTCAAAGATCCCTAAAGACTGAGTCATTATTGGTTGATGTACTAAAGAATAATAAAAAGTGTAGTAGAAATGGTATGTCAGAATCTAATAGTTTTGCATTTAGAATTTGATCTAAAATTCTTTAGAGTATTATAATAAGTAATTACCTCCTGTAATATGCTGCTAAATTTTATTTTGGAACTTCATATACACATGATTAGTATACTGTTAAAGAGACTGGATTAGATAACTGTTACTATTGATACCAGACTACATTTTCTGGCTCACTTGTCTTGGGATTAACACATAAGAACACAGGCAAAGAATCTGTTCCCATACTTTCTGCTAAATGGTGGGAGAAGATAAAACCACCCTTCTTTCAAGTCACATTAGAGAATGTGCAGAGTCAGAACTTTATTAAATATTATAAAGTACCAAAGAAGGAAATTCTAGGATTCAATTAGATCTATTTATTTTAGTTTAAATCAGATTATCTCCAAAGAAAGATCTATTAAAAGCCCAGTAGTGGGAACAGAGAGGTGGCTCAGTGGTTAAGAGCGCTCACTGCTTTTCTAGAGAACCCAGGTTCAATTCCCAGCAGATACATGGTGGTTTACAATGTCCGTACCTCATGCTGATGGCACAGAGATGGATACAGGCAAAACACCAATACACTATAAAAATAAATATTTAAAAAGCTCAGTAGCGACTTATAAAATGCGATCATTTCTGAGTATTATACTTTCCAAAATTTTAAGATAAAATTAATATAAGTCAAGTTTTAAGACACAATTCCACAGCCTGTGTCGCCTTCTTCTCCCAGTGGATTTTCATGACAAAATTTCCTTCTGTAACATGAACTGGACTTTTTGTATGTTTGAGTGGCTTTAACACCATCATCAGTATACCCTTAAAAAGGACTGGATCAGGTAATCAGTATCACTATTGATAAAATCTACTTCCAAGGAGGAAATACTAGTGTATCTTTCTTTCCCATTTGTTATTTTTTTTCTTGGCTTATCTTTTTAAGGTCTAGAAAATACATTTTAGAATTAAAGTTTTCTTGTTATCTATAGATCACAGCACATCCCTACAGGTAACAACACTACAGCTGTAAGACTACACGATGGTAGGATTAAAGGGCCAAAACCAGGTAAAATGCAATAAAATGCATGTTTTCATCAAGTCTTCCAATTAAAAAGTCTCTGCTGTAATAAAATATTCACAGTAGAAAATCCACCAGTTGATTTTTATTAAATTTAAAGCATCAATCCTTGAAGAAACAAAAACCAAACTCTAGAATTACTGTTGCCTCCCTCAGATAGTCTTCACAACTTGCAAACCTCCATGGAGAAGGCTGTGACCTGACTGTTGCAGGGACATACAGCACCTACCTGCAGGGGAATTATGACAGAATTCCTACCCAAGGCAAAACAGATGTAAAATTATCAATTATTAGTTGACATGGAACTATAAAATACTTAAAAATATGGCATGTTATTTGATAAAAAATACAGTAGTTAAATTCAAGTCATGTCCATAATTTTAAGGACCAACCAGATCACTGTCTATTTCCCTCATTCCTACGGATTTTGGATAACAGAAGATGAATACAGCTTTCTTTTTTTTTTTCTTTTCTTTCTTGTGAATGCCGAGCCTTAGCTTGGCTTCTTTCTTTTTTTTTTTTTCAGTTTTTATTTATTTTTATTTTTTTTGTGGGTTTTTTTTTAATTTTAAATTTATTTATTTATTAAAGATTTCTGTCTCTTCCCAGCCACCGCCTCCCATTTCCCTCCCCCTCCCCTAATTAAGTCCCCCCCCCTCAGCCCGAAAAGCAATCAGGGTTCCTTGTCCTGTGGGAAGTCCAGGGAACCCCCCACCTCCATCCAGGTCTAGTAAGTTGAGCATCCAAACTGCCTAGGCTCCCACAAAGCCAGTACGTGCAGTAGGATCAGAAACCCATTGCCATTGTTCTTGAGTTCTCAGTAGTCCTCATTGTCCGTTATGTTCAGAGAGTCCGGTTTTGTCCCAGGCTTTTCCAGACTACAGCTTTCTTTTTGACATTTTCATTTGAAACCTAAATCTTTTGGTTCACATTAGTTTGCTCAGGCCTCAGCAAAGGAGCCTCTTTTACATGCTAAACAGAATAAAAATAAAAATGGACATACTGGTACAACAGTCAACTACTACAAACACCCTTTCAAATGAGAAATCGACAGTGTATTCACCATTGTGACTGGAGGTGCCCTTCTGACAGCATTCTCAAATTACTCTTCTGCACCTATCCATCTGTGTGGCTGCAAAGCACAAAGCCCATTCTTTAGCTTCGAAAAGCAAAACTACGTGGTGGAAGTTATTTTCTTCTTCCCACTCTTTTATCCAGAAAAGAAGTGGGCCTGTGAATTCAAAAGCACAAAGGGGATCACACTGCCAAGTGCTGATTTAAAGGTGTTATTTCCCTTTACTATTGCCCAGTCCATTCATGCTTCTGCCTTACCCATGCAATCGCTGTGAGTCTCCCTACTACCACAAACATCAGGTGGTTGGCACGTGGGAAAGCTTTAAAGTTGGAGTTAAGTGAATCCTATCCCCAGCGCTGTCTGCGTATCTATAAACCTCTGACAGAGGGAATGGTCAGGAGACTTAGAGATCATACAGCAGTGTTACTTGTAGAAAAAAACTCAAGACATTTACTTTTAATAATATATTATGTATCGTTACATGAAACATGGTTCTCAACTGTCTTTGACTCAGCAAAACTTGGTAATGGTGAAATGTAACATTATTGTGAAAAGTTACTATGGCATAGTGACTGGGATGTATTAGTAGACATTCTGGCTGAAATAGATAAAAATTATGTTTACCTTATTGAAGCCCTGCCTCCCCCTTAATGGTAATTCTCAAAATAATTGACATAAGCACTGCTTTAACACAAATGGCAATTATGGAAGACAATCCATCAGAGAACAGTATTCTAAGACAGCAAAAAGAAATGTACTGCCCAGAGTTCCACAGCTGGGGCTGGAGAGATGGCTCAGTGGTTAAGAGCAGAGAACCCAGGTTTGGTTTCCAGCACCCGTATGGTGGCTGACAATCCTCTGTAACTCTAGTTCTAAGGTACACAATATCTTCTAGCCTAGGTGAGTGGGCACCAGGCACACACATGGTGCACATACATATATGGAGGCAAACGTGCATACACGTAAAATAAAGATAAATTTTAAAATATTAAAAAAACAGGTTCCACAGCTGCTGCACTCAAAATGTTGGCCTCAACCATACAAGTTAAAGGAATGCATA